AATGCAGGAACTGTCACGTTGCACGTGCTCCCTGGTGCCCTGCTCCTGCATGCAGGGATGGGGAACACTGGTGACTTGGGAGTGTTTGGGAGAGGTGGGTGGCGTACAGTGTTTAAACTTGGTTTTACTCTAGTCTTGCAGGCCATAGCCTCTTCATTGTGTTTTGGGCAGCTCCTGTCCTCCCAATAAGTCTTCAGGGGTATCTCTGTTGTTTTCTTCTCTGGTCCATCTTGAGTTCCCTTTGTTGGGCAAACAGCCAGGCAAGCTCAGCTGCAAGGAATCAATGGGGCAGGAGGTATCACTGGCCTGTTGCTGGGACAAACATGTTTTTGGGAGAGCAGTGAGGAGCGTGCAAGAGCAGCCAGATGGGCTCATAACACAGACTTGCAGGCAGCAGGCTGGGGGGCAACCAGCCTGTGGCCCATATGGGACCCCCAGCCAAAGGAAGTCAAGTGAGAGCAATGAATTTGCTGTCATGGGCTGGAATGGGGCAACTGGTGGAGGGTCTGGGGCAGAACCCAGGCAAAGACATGCAGGCATGTGAGGTGCAGATCTGTCCAGTGTGAGCAGAAAGTAACTGGGATCCAGAAGCTGATCCACTAAACTGCAAGAATGAGCATGTCTGAGTTGAAGGAGGAAGGAGAGACACATGTCCATTAAACTTTAATGCTCAGTCCTGACCTATGTTCAGCGAGACATTGCTGGGATTGCTCCCTGTCATGATGTAAAATACCAATGCCACGCCTTGGAGATGGAGTGGGGAGTTAGCCAGAACCCAGAACTGCTCTGGAGCAACTCCCTGACAGAAAGCAGAGAAATAAATAAAATAAATTAAGTCCCAGTTGGGAAAAAAAAAAGATACCATGCCTGGACTGGGTGGGAGAGGCTACTGCTGCCAGACACAACCCATAAGGGCAGGAGCCTGTGCCATCCTTTTTCCACGCCTTCCTCACTCTCTGCAAGTGGAGGGAACTTTCAGCTCAGCACAAGGATATCTACTTACACACAAATATTCCCTTCCCTCGTTTCATGTCTGTCTGGGTTAAACCTCTAGCACAGGGCCATTAAAGATGTGCATGAATAAGCTTTTAAACTCCCACCGATGTTTGGTCAGCACCCACAAATCCAAGCCCCTGAAAGAGCCCCTTTTCCATGGAGGAGGTAGAAGAGGAGCTCCAGGGAGGTGCTGGGGGTGGCACAGTAAATTGACATCAAGTTAATAAAGTTATTGACTCCTTCAAAAGTCAAAAAGGGCCCCTGCAAGGAGATGCTCACTGCATGGGTACACACATTGGTTTGTGAGAAATTAAACTGCAGGCTGTTGTAGCTGCACCTCTGTCATACTGGGGATGGGACAAGGAGGGGTTTTGGTTGACAGCATCAGCTTCAGAAAGGGTTAATGGCACATGAGATGTTTAGTGGGATTTGGTATTCTTTTAACTTCAACAAACAAAGCACATGAGAAAATCCAATTCACAGCTGAGCCTTGGCTGCCTGCCCACTAGGGCAGGGAAAATGCTGATGGTCTGAAATAACCACGTGCTGGCCTTTCTCATGCAGCCTGTGGCCCAGGGTCCCTGGCTGGTCTCCCCCCATTGTATTTGGATCAGCCAAGGTGGCAGCAGTGCAAACTGCAGTGTAAAGGCAGCACTGAGACAGGAGCAAATCTACTTTCCTTGAGTATGGTCGGCTTCCTCAGGCACACAAAGGAGCCGGGATCCTGTGAGGTTCTGCTTGTTCAAAAATCATAATTAGCTCTCAAAGTAAATAGGTGTTAATAGAAACAAAGAGCTTTGCCACAGTCTGGATAAATACTTTAGAATCAATTTAATTTCCCTTCTCCTGGCAGACGTAATCGTGCTGCTGTGCAATTATTTTCAGGTCAGGGCAGGGAACAAAGCCACTGGGGCGGCTTTGGGGAGCAGCTGCTCCTTGGGACAGCTGGCAGGACCCTCTGCTTCACTGACATTCAGGCCCCCGAGGCTGAAACGAGCTTCCTTCCGCTGAACCAGATGTATAATGCAGCTGGAGACCAGCAAACCAGCAGTGAGCCATGGCATGACATTAAACTGCCCTGAAGTCCAGCCTCCTTAATCCTGAGAGTCCCCCTGTCTAGACAGGACATGAAGGACTAATGTGAAAACCAAGTGGCAGAAAATTTACACTCTCCCATTGAGCTGCAAACTGCAAGAAGTATCAAAGGGTGTAAATCTGTTTGCCTTTTAATTGCTTTGCCTTTTGGGACCATGGGCAGTACCTAAGCATGGATGGTCCCACACTGGTGCAGAGGGCTTGCATTACTGCTTCCAGGTTGCCCATTTGCCTACTAAATCATGCTAAAAGGCCTTTTTACCCTGCCTTTTCCCTACCATCACGGGGAGCTGGTGGCCCCGTGCACCCCGTGCTGGTGATGGTAGGGAAAAGGCTTTTCCTCAAGCTGCCCCAAAAGCTAATGAGTTTGTCCTCCATCACCACTGGGTTATAAGCAAACTAGTGACTGGTGGCTGGGGCTCAGCTGATGTGGGGTGGGTGTCCCTTTGAGGAGACAGTAACTCAGCATATGATGGCAAGTGCAGTCAATGTGTTTGCTGGTGATGGAGTGTTCCCCTAGTTGGGATGTGAGTACAGCCCAGCTGGGAACAGCCTGGCTGTGGTGTCAGACCCAGCAAGGCTTCTGGGCCAGTATAAAGCAGTCACACACCCAGGAACAAGTACAACCAGAAAAATGTGCACAGTGGCTTCCCTGGCAGTTCCTGATCTTGTTCCACCATGCTGCCTGTCTGCTGGGAGAAGGAGATTTAGTTAACTAATTGCTACAATTAGCATGGAGCTATTCCTGCTCACGATGGTTACCTTTTCCTCCCCCTTTTTGGTTCATCCAATTACCAACTCATTCATTCTCTAAGGCAGAGGCCACAGCAAGGCACAAAGAAGCTTGAGGATGAGGGGAGGAAGGTCCAAGAACAAAATGCCAAGTGTCCCAAGCTCTGTTTCTACCCAGGAATTGTCTTAATCTTGCATAAACTCTCAATCTTCTCCCATCCATCCAATCCTTGACTTCAAGGAGATGATGAAGAGGGAGCACAGCACAGCAAAGCAGAGTTATAAACATTGCTATGACTGCTTCATTACTCCCTCCAGCTGACACCTCATGAAGGATGTGTGATGAGCTTATATATGCCAAGATGGACAAGACTTCTGACACCCATCATGCTCCAATGACCCCTCAGCTTCTTCACCCAGCCTCAGGCCATGGATTCTTCAAATGAACATTACCCACTTTGGGAAACTGATGATTTATTTGTCATTACTTAGCAGGGATGGTGAAGGAAAGGTGAGCATGGGGTCACTGCTTCAGCAAGGACCAAAGTGAAGCACCAGCCCTGAATAATTCATGCTCCCTCTCTGCTGCAGCATCTGGACACATCTGCTGCATTCACTGTTGCAGGCTTTTTCTTGGCTTACTCAGAAAATCAAACTTTGGCAGCTGGGTACTGTTTCAAGTGGGTACTTTCCCTACAGCATTAACGAGATGTGATTCTGTAACAAATAGGGATTTTTGTTCCTCTTTTGCTGATGTCACTCCATGATCCTGCAGGGAATAGTGCTTGGATCTCTGCAGCCTGATGATCCCTGTGTGCCCTTTGGGACAGATGTACTTGCAAACGGGAGATTGTTTTTCCTTTTGCTGCCCAGATTTATATTTCACTGAAGTCCCGTATCGATCCTGCTGCCGCTGGGCTGAAAGCTCATTTTACTAAATGAGAAGAAAAGCAGTTCCCCCAGCTGAATGTACGCAAAATGGAAAATCCTGCAATGAAACAGCTCTTAAAAAAGGGGCCTGAACAATTTTGCTGAACCTCGAGGGCTGCACTGCTGACATTGGAACGGTATGTAATTTATTTAGCCTGACCTTTCCCTGAAAGACCTGGCTGGCAACATTATCAAGGATCCTTTCTGCCACTTGTGCACCCATTGCCAAGGTGACATCCTGTTTCATGCGTCAGTCAGCGAGGATCGCATCTGCGCTGCCGTGATGCTTTGTTTGCTGTCCTGCCTGACAAGCTCTTGGCAGGGTTTCAACTCCTGCGGATGGCAGCTGCTCCACGAGGGACCAAAACAGATTCAAGCTGGACGTTGTTATGAGGAGTTTCATGGAGACAGAGCAGAGGCCTGCAGTCCCCTGGATGAGACTGGACCATGGATGAGATGAAGCAAAGACACCCAGAGATGGTACCACGTATAAAGGGATGGGCAGGTGACTGCAGAGCTACACCCCAGACTCACTCCCCCATCCCATCTCACCCAGAATTTATGTGTGCCCTTGTGGTGCTGGGAAAACAGAGGCAGCTCACTAGTGCTTAATGCAGAGTCTTGCCTTAGTGCAACTGAGTATTTGGATGGTGGAGTAGAACTCAGACAATAGGTCCCCTCACTGCACATAAACTACCTGGAGTTTTCCTTCCTCCCCTCCCAGCGCTTTTCCTGAGGGTTCCAGGAAGAGATGGGGATGCAGGTGCAGGGAGTATGTCTGTCCTCCACATGAGAGCCTGCCAGCAAGGAAAACTGCAGTGGAGAAGAAGGTGGCTCCAGTAAAGCTTCTCCCCCTACTCCATCAAGGGATTGAAATGTCTGACCAAAGGGGATCTTCACTGCTGGTTCCCACCACTCTCAAGGGGATTTTGGTGATGGACAGGGACAAGGGCTGCAGCTAAAAATGTCCCCAAATGCCCCCACAAACTTCTAAGAGACTGAAAGGTCTACAGTTATGGAGGGTAAAAATGATTGGCTCTCAGAGTAGTCAAGACAGCTCTTTAGATGTCAAAGGCAGGAAAGCCTAATGAAAGTTTCCCACATTCCATCCATTTCCCACTTCAGCCCCCCCCAGCCTTGTAGCAGGATGCATCCCCTCCTACAGGTCTGATCTGAAAGAGGCCCAGGGCCCATTGGGAGGACAGGAGAGAGGATGCTCTTAGCAGTGGACCTGTCTCTCATGGTACCTGTGTTCTCCTCGGACTGGTTGAAGCCACAGATGTGGCAGATGCTGCGGACCCATTTGTTCATGTCGTCCTCAGTCTCAGCCACCAGGTAGAAGGTCCTGTCACTTGTCTTGATGTCGAAGATGTAGCTGTCTTGCAGCTCCTTCTTGTTGAAGGTGAGGCCCGCGTCCACTTGCTCGCAGAAGTTGAGGTTGATGACGCGCAGAGGTTTCTTGGAGTGGTCATTTTTGTAGTACTCCAGGACATCGGGGTCGCCACTCATCCGACCGCTGCGCAGGACAAACCAGCGTTTCTTCCATGCCTGAAACCAAGACAACAACAAGCATGAACCCCACTGCTGAATTTATGAGAGCAAAAATCCACTGCTAGGAACAGGGTGACACGACACTTCTCCACCATGGGGTGCTCTGGGATGCTGCTCAGGCACACCTGCAAGAGGTGCAGAGACTCAGCTCAGTTCCTCACTTCAATACTAAAATCCAGGAGAATTCAATATCGAAATAGCATCATAGCATAGGATGACCCCAAAAGGTGAAAGTTTTGTGGCTCAGAGGAACCTATGCTCTTCTCTCCATGATGTGGATACTCTGTGCAGTGGCATTATCGGGTGTCACAATGCCAAAATGCCTTCCAGCAGGTCAGAGGCACTGAGGCACTTTGGATGCAACACCGGGATGTCCTAACCTTCAGAGAAACAAACCCCTGAGAGCATCATAGAATGTCTCTGTAGATACTGACCATGCCAATCTCTGTTTAAATGCCAGGATAGAAAGACTAATAAAACCAAAGGAGAACTGGTTTGTTTTTTTTAAATATCAGGAATAATGCCAGGGAGACCCATGGAGAATCCCAGCTTCATTTGTTTTTCAGCATCCTCTGCTCCCTGGCACGCAGGCAACTCCTTAGCAAAGGAAAAGGTTATCATTGATTCTTCCAAGCACTGCTGACAGCAGCCTCTGGCCAAACTACCTGCAGAATGGACTCAGGGGGTTGCAGAGTTTGAAGCAAACCAGCAGAACAAATGTCAGCCATCAGCCCTGGCCCTGAGAGCTGTGGTCCTGCTGCCCCCCCCATGCCAGACACATTTGGGAGGCCACAGGAGGGGGAGTAGCCACAAGTATAACACATTAAAGGCTAAAACTGAAAGGGAAAACCGTGCAGGTGTAACCCTCCACACCATGAGGTGAGCATAGAGTTTCTTTGGGGTGTGCTCTGTGTGAGGATCATGGCACCTCTGGGAGGGATGAATGGCATTGAGGGACCACCTCGAGCTGCTCCCCTTTACAGAGCTATGCTCCCTTGCAGAGGCCTCAGCTCCCATGGCCTAGGGAAGGGGAGAATTACATCTAAGCATAGTCCTTGAAACAGCTTGTTCAGGGTGTCTTTGAAGGCAGCAAAGGTTTGAGAGGTGCATGTGGTTAAGCATGATGTGAATTACGACCAGTGCTCCTGCATTACCTGACACAGACTTCAGTTTGTACCAGAGGATGTCAAGGGAGGGGATGTGATCCCCACCATCCTGCCCTGGCTCTGGACAGTGGTGCTTTTTACATGAGATTTACCTTATTTATATTTTAATATATAACCAGCTTTGGAATTCTGATGATTGTAAGAGGTTGGGTTATGAGGAAGCATGTGATATTTCTAAGAAGGAAGAACAAACACCTATAGTAACCCAAGAGAGGCACCAAGGCAAGCAGTGTGCTGGGTTCCTCATGATAATGCCCAGGTGCTGAGCACAAGCTTTACATATTGGTGATGAGCACGTGCTAGATCTCAGCCAGCCAACTGCACCAGGATCCCACAGTTTTGGAGAATTTCATTGCTGAAATGATGGTAAGAAATTCCTGTGGTGTTTTCCCTAACAGTCTGATTCAGACCATACTTCTCAAAAGCTTAAAAATATCTTTTGTTGGTGTCTTTGAGATTTGTAATCAAATTAGTTTTGCACTAATTCTCAAAACGGCTTCTGGTGCCAGGAAAGCAACTTCAGTGCAATCTTCCAAAGGCAGCGAAGCAGCAAATTGCTTAGCAAGAGGACGTGCAAGGCTAGCAGATTTTGGCTTAATCTCACCCACTTCTCATCAAAATGGCTGCTTTTGAGTGACAAAATAGATACAGTGGAGCTGTGTCCATCAGGGAAGGAAAAGCCAATTTCATCAGGCAGCAGCAATAATTTACTAGTCCATCTCCTCAAAATGGATCATCCAAATCATTGGGAAACAAACCTATGAACATTTTTTTCTTAGTTCTAGGTGGTAAATGTCCCATGAGCTTCTTCCTGTTAAGATTGAGTCATTTTTTGCAGCCACTTGGCAGGCGTAAGACATGGGCATGCATCAGTGAAGGGACTGCAATAAGATGGAGTTGTGCAACCACATGAACCAGCACCTGAATGCAGACATTCAGCACCAGTTCTTGCTACTTATATTGTTGCTTTACAACCATCTAAAGTCCAGTCTTGCAGTCTCCCTTCAAGGCTGAGGCATTGCATTACAACACCCACAAAGTGCAGAAACTAGACTTTAGAATTTAGAGCTTTCATGAAAAAACCAGGAGGAAATGCTGCAAGCACGACAACTGATGCTACCACGACTTCTCTTTTTATTGCCAGTGTGAGAACCACAACTCCTCAGTTCTCTTTGGCCTGTCCAGTAGCAATGACAGGTACCACACAGCCAAGATCTGGCAGAGAAAACAGTGCCACACGCATAGTCTGGTTGCTTTGGATAAGTTTTAACATAGGCTGGTTGCAAAAGAATGGGTCTTGTAGGCACAATATTTCTTGGAAAGCTTCAGGAGGTGGAGTATCACTGGAGGGTGGGACCACTGGATAGGGCAGGAGTCCCACAAGCCTGGAACGACCACCTTGTCCATCCCTGTGTTGTGCCCTCCTGATGATAGAGTCACTGGTGTTCTTCTAACACAGCTTCTGACCCAGAAAAAGAGCTCATGGCAGCAGTCTAAGGAGTGCCTGTCCTGGACAGGTGGCTTTAGGCAGGACAGCTGGAGGCATCTCCTACCACACTTCCCTGCAGCAGGACCAGATGTTCCTGCCTCCTAAGATCAGCTTCTAAGCCAGAGGAATAAGCAATGATTGACAGAAGAGAGTGGAAGTAAACAGTAAAGAAACAGACAGGAACCTCCTTATTTTTGTGGACATTTCTCTGAATTTTTGAGTGCTGGGCTCAGCAAGTGTAATTTATTTATTCCCTGTGGATTTGCTATGCCTTTATTGGGACTAGGGCTCAGCTTGTGTTTGCTAGGCTGTGGCTGCTCTTGGGGCATCTCTGTCGGCACTAATGCAGCTTGCTTCAACATATCACAATATGGAACAAAGGATATGTAGTTTGCAGCATGTGGCTCATCCTCCTGGGACACCTATTTCCCCATTCAAAGCTACCAATACCATCCACATCTTCTACATTGAGATTCCCTAGGATATCACCTTCCTGCAAGAGAGTGACTTAAACATCTACTGACCAGCAGCTGTGACAGCAGTAAGATGTATAGGATCCATATGTGTGTGGCCATCTTATCTGATGCCAAACCAGGGGAGGATGTAACTCCATGTGAACCTACACACTCTTTCCAAGACCACCTTCTCCCAGCATGATGCTGAGATGGCACATGGGCATCTCATCCTCCACTTGAATTTTCTTTCTCTGCTTATTTCTACCTCTTCACAGCTCTTCTGAAGCCTCTGCTGCCATCAGCCTGCTCCTGCCAAAACACCGTGCCTCCCTGACACGTGTTGTGAGCCAAGGGCTGTGTTTGTTTAACAGCTTTACAACGTTGAGAGGCCAACAGCTTAACGGCCATAAAATGCTGCTTTGCAGCACAAATTTCCAGCTGTGAGGTCTTTTGCTGGCATCAGGTTCCTTCACAGTTAAATTATGGCTGCCAAAAGCCCTTAATATCACTGAGAAATATTTTGACACTTGGCAAGTACTTCTTTTAAAGACTTGTTTGTTAAAAAAAAAGTGCCCATCGTGCTCCTACTGCGATGTGAATCCTCCCTGGGCACTGAGAACCGTGGCTGATGCTCAGTTTTTTTTCCACCTCAGTAGTGCAGTGGCAAAGTTTAAATTTACAAAATGAAGCTCTTTCCAAGTGGATGCTACCTGGAGCTGGTTGTTTTATGGAGAGCTGGGTTGGCAGAGGTGAGGCAGCGCTGCTGGGTTCACTGGCTGAGTGAAGGATGTTCTGGGGGGTTCAGGCAGTGGTTGGGACCCTTCCTGTTCCATCTGCTGGGTGAGGAACCAGAAGAGCCAAACCACATAGGTGGCTGCCCTTGAGCAACTGAGATACCACCATGGATGGCAGGAGATAACATCCCACCGCTCCAGGAGTGAGGTCCCTCATGTCCCCTGTGGCTGTCCTGATGGTGCAATGCTGTGACAGAGCTGGTGGCATCAGGGTATAGAGCTCAGAGAATCTGGGGCCTCCAAGGGACTAATAATCCAAATTCCTTGGCTGACAGCCTAGAGAGAGGCTTTATTGTTATAGTGAGGGACATTCAGACAGCATCTTCCTCTCTGCTCCCCTGTTCCCTGCAAAGTGAACACAGAGATCCAGCCTATACGCTGTTCCAGAAAAAAAGAAAAGAGGTGAGGGAAATTATAATGTACATGTCAGTAAAGCCAGGTATCCATCCCTGGGGAACTTGCCAAGTGTCACAATCGTGAGAAGGAAGCAAAGAGTGACAACATGGAGAGATGGCTCATGGTGGGGCCTGTAGGAGTGGCCCACCCAGTATTATCTCAACTTCAAACTGAGGAGTTTGAAACAGAGACTGTTAGCTTTGGGCTGAAAGGGATGTTCTTTCAATTAGGATCAACTTCTGAGCCACATCTCTCTAATCTGAAATACTAGTATTTTTACCACCACACCCTTATAGCACATATAGGGAGAGGAGAGGGGAGAGGAGGAGAGGAGAGGAGAGGAGAGGAGAGGAGAGGAGAGGAGAGGAGAGGAGAGGAGAGGAGAGGAGAGGAGAGGAGAGGAGAGGAGAGGAGAGGAGAGGAGAGGAGAGGAGAGGAGAGGAGAGGACAGGACAGGACAGGACAGGACAGGACAGGACAGGACAGGACAGGACAGGAGCTGTATATTTCCCAGGAATCTCTCTGTCCTGTTCCTTCTCCCCGGACACCAACTTCATGCCCACCAGCACTGCACACCAGCAGTGTGAAATAAACCTTCCAAAATCTGACCTGACACAAATCACAGGACCTAATCCAAGCTGGCAGGCAGGATGAGTGACCTAGCCATGACATCAGGCAAATTTCTCACACCAAGATG